GCTTGTCCAGGTGCGTATAACGCGTTGTTGCTTTTATATGAAAAGTTCGGATGATTCTTCCAACCAAGATTATAGGTATTGCTATAAGGGTTTCCCTGCACGTAATTCGCTTGTTCAGCTGGAACTCCTGTTAGAAGTGGGCATTCTGGAGCAGGATGTGATTGAAGACCACATAGATCGCAAGCTTGAGATACTGTAGCTACGGTAGCTGCGGGAGCGGTAGTAAGGTTTTCTAGCTTTTGGGTAAGGGCTTCTACTTTAGCATTGACTTGATCCAGACTATTCACTTCAATCATGCCACCTTTTGTTTGGATTTTTTCCATATTAGCTCTTTCGCTTCCCCATTGATAATGGTTTTGAGCCATGCTTTCGATAAGTTGATTCGCCTCGGTATACGGCTTATCCATCAATGCGCCACCAACAGCAGCGTCTATAGTCATTCTTGTGTTGTACAAGAGACCATTATAGAACGTATGAATGATCGGCCATTCTTCTAAACCATGATGAGGACAGATTCTGATCATGTCCTTATAGCGTTCCCATGCCTCAAAAAGAGATTCGTTATCTTTTTGTCTGAAACCATTGATGTTGGCTCTAAGCATAGCAGTTTTGCTTGGCGGGAAATATCTAGCTAAAAAGACTTTTTTCAACTCATCCCATGTGGTGATTGAGTTTGAAGGAAGAGATTGGAGCCATGCTCGACCTCTGTCTCTTAAAGAAAAGGGAAATAGGCGCAATCGTATCGCCTCGGGGTTTACACCATTCGCTTTTACAGTGTCTGCATACTGCACAAACACTGACAGATGTAGGTTTGGGTCGTCAGTAGGAGATCCAGAAAATTGGTTCTGCTGAACGGCAGATATAAGCGAAGGTTTTAGCTCGAAATCGTTTCGAGCGATAGCAGGAGCGGCAATGCTGTTGTGGGGCTCTTCTTGAGAAGGAACTGCGTAATCCTTAAGAGCACGAGGTGGATTTGGTACGTCATCCATTTTAGATTCTTCAATTAATTCAGGGATTGAGATATCAGGGAGCTTGGTCGGAGGAAGATTGTTGAGATCACGGTATTCTTGAACTAGGCGTCTTACTCTGAGATAGCGCTCGATATCGTTGATTTGTAAATGCAAAGGCTCGCTTTGGGAGCGAGTATTTGGCATACAACAGAGGGAAAAATAAATAGTTGCCTTAGTCTATACAGTACTACTTTACGAGTGCACTAGTGACTAAATCAAAGTCCCCGACAACAGCGCCAAAAACTTGATGTGCGATCGACCTAATGTGTCTAACGGTATCTTAACTGCAAGTGCACAGCCTATCACGGTAGTAATAAAAAGATGTCGAACCCACAGGGACTTTGTAATCACTCTAGTGCTATAAAGGTTTGCTAGTTTAGCTAAGGCGGATGTTGTCACGTTTGGTTGTTTAGAGGTTAAGGTAAGGGAAAAATAAATCGAATTAAGAGAATAATAATAATAAAACGGACGGTATGTAATGTAGTGAACCTAAGTGGATCTAATCGAACCTAAGCATATAAAGATGTTTAACTTAGATGGTTATGTAGAAATTATCAGTTTAAAAACCCTCAACTCACACTCTGGTGGTCTTATCTCGGATTATACCCCTAAAGCCCTATGCCTGCTCTCGCTAGCCCATAAGTGTTTAGAAAATACTTTTTGAAAACTTAATAAAATCTAATTCGTTTTAAAGCGCTCTCGCTGTATTTAAATCAAATGCCTAACTTTAGCTATCCGGTTAAAATCTCACCCTCTCGTGGTCTCGATCCTAACCTATTCTACTTTTCTTACTCTCGTAACAAAAATATTGGTTTTAATTATAAAAAGTCACATCCAGAAATTAAGTTAATTTAGATTTTAGCTTAGGCACAATTTAATCCATTCGGTTACTATTATCACATCCCGACTCTAGAAAATTAGCTAGTCATAGTACTCGAAATAGACATACAGAAAATATAATCGGGAAAGAATAAAGCATTCATGATAAAATAAATAAATAAATAAATGTAAACAAATTATATTAAAATTTAATGCGATTAAAAACCTGAATAACAATATTATTCCTCAAGCTCCCTCTTCCACAAGTCGGCAAGATTGGAACTTCGAAATCGGAACTTGAAACAAATTCTGAGGCTAGAAATAAATTCTGACTACAATAATAATTTCCTAATGTTGGAAATAGTTATTAATTGGTAAAAGGGAAAAATAAAGCAAGAACAAAAAAATGAAGTATTAAATTTGGCAGGGCTTCCGCAAGAAAATTATGTAGCAAAAAAAAACTCTCCCCCGTTCCATTAAAATGTCTCCTATTTATAGAAGAGGATTTTTGAAGTTAAGAGAATTTAGGAACGTGGACTTGCATGCTTGAGTGGAGGAAGACTCAGACTGTTCGTTGTTGAAGTTGAGAAATTGTAGGAGAAGAAAACATCCATTACATTGCCCACGTCTTCTGTTTTGCATGACACTGAGTTACGCGTGTGACGGTCGTCATGAGGAGGTGACGGTCGTAATGCGCTTAAATAGCGCGTTATATTCGTCAATGATGTGTGACGAGCGTTCTTCCGGATGCGTGTGCGTTACGCTCGTAACGGAGGTGTGACGGTCGTCATGACATCAAACTTTGCAGATTTTTGCAGATTAGTTCTTTTTCTTCTGATTTTTTGGTTAGCTTTCTTCATGTGATCCTTTTTCACTAATTTGATTTGAAACGTGTTGTACCTGTGAAAAGACATAAAAACTCGGAACAATCGGGAGTTAAATGAGTTAATGCATTATGAAAATCGATTAAAAATGTAGCAATTATATGATACGATTTCTCGTTATCAAATTCCCCCATACTTAAACCTTTGCTTGTCCTCAAGCAAATAATCATTTAGAAAGATCGGACAAGTTTTATCAAGCGCACATGCATGACATACCTTTGATTTTTTAAAGCAATTACGGGAAATTCTCGTCAGTTCGATCGATACTTAAGTGAAACACTAACGATACGCTAATGACACAAGCAATGAGCTAAGTCGTGGGCTTCCATTTCAAACAAACTGTCCAATAGTTCCGTTATAATTCTGCCCAGAGTTTCTCGTATCTATTTCACCCGGTTTTGTTCTAGCGCAATCACATTAAGCACTTTGTCTTAGCACGCACATAGTGGAGTAACTGGTTAGTGACTTTGATCCTTTTAGCACGGGGTCTGGTACACAAATATGGCAACCTTATACATATTATCCAAATTGGAGGTTGTGGGGGATCGAGCCGTAGCACTCCCTACCAAGTTCAGAACCAGATACCTCTGAACCAACTAACAATGGACTCCTTCATTAATTGCTCATCTCTTATATGCGACCTTGTATTTTGGTGCAAATTTTTTTTCTTTTCTTTTTAGCAGCGAGATAAGAAGGATATTTCATTGATCAGACATCAAACACTTATGTTCATCGGTTCCCCACATGGTTTGTGTCAAGACGGTGCTGACTGCTAGTATAAACTACTAGGGGTTACTTTAGAACTAAAACTCAGGATATAGGTATAATGGTTATTGAAACGAATCGCGTAAGTAGAAAGTCTAAGGTCGTAATGCGCTTAAATAGCGCGTTACGTTCGTCAATGATGTGTGACGAGCGTTCTTCAGGATGTGTGCGCGTTACGCTGGTAACGGAGGTGTGACGGTCGTCATGACATCAAACTTTACAGATTTTTGCAGATTAGTTCTTTTTCTTCTGATTTTTTGGTTAGCTTTCTTTATGTGATCCTTTTTCACTAATTTGATTTGAAACGTGTTGTACCTGTGAAAAGACATAAAAACTCGGAACAATCGGGAGTTAAATGGGTTAATGCATTATAAAAATCGATTAAAAATATAGCAATTATATGATACGATTTCTCATTATCATCAACATAACTCGACAACCTTCTTCCTTTCAATTTTTAATTACATAGATTCAATAATCACATTTTTTATTTATTAAATTGAATACTAATAGAATGAAGATAATCATCTTTATTATTGTCTATTACCACTCTTCTAAAAATTTAAAATACAAACAAAATTCAAACAGAGGAACCTAAAATAACCATTATCAATTTTTTTAGAGACAAACAAATGATATTAATCCATTGAATATGTAAAAAACAAACCGTGACAACAAAATCAAAGAAGAAATTTCATTGTTGCAATGTATCAACCAAACTCCTTAATACTATATTAACAACATAGATGACAAAATAGAAGAAGAAGAACTAGATTGGAGTTTCAATATAGTATCAATTTTTGTATTTATTATTTTATAGAAAAATTGTTGATTTTATAAATATCAAATAATTGTTTTAACATTAATAATAAAAAATACAAAGACATAATGTTGTTAGAGGGTTGAACTCTGAACCAATAGTTCATACCCATTTATGTCAGCTATAACTTTTGTATTTAATCATTTCAAAGTAAATTTTAATTTTAAATTAGGTATTACTAGATATTAATACCCAATAAAACTATATATTAAATTTTGGAAAAAATGTTTTTTTTTTTAATTCTAAAAAAAACTACTCTTATTTTGTTGATTACGTTTTTTGTTCCCAAATTGACAAACTACAAACACTAAATTATTAAACAAGAGGGTTAGTATTATATTATCAACCAACCAAATATTAAAATATTAAAAATATTAAATTGAAATGTTATTAACTTATTACTCACTTCTTGCATACAATTTCAATGGTGCTACAAATATGCTTCTCATACGCATTCATGCACAACATACCTATTCTATTTTACATCATTTACCTTACCAACCACTCTTTTTCTCTAACATTCCTATATATACACCCCCCATCATGCTTCTTTCCCTTCCTATACTTTTCAAACCTTTCTATTTCACTTTCCCATTTCTCAACTCAATTAAACTCAATCATGCCAATCAATTTTCATTAGCTCATTAAATCACCTATACGTTTTCAACTTTTTTCTTCAATCAAAATAACTTTTTTTCACTCATGTCAAATGAAAGTGAAGAGTTTTCCACAGAAATTGTGCAAAGGGGTGCAGAAAGCAATGGCCCAATTTCATTCTCTGTTAAAGTACGGCCCAGAATGCCAGATTTTCTTAGTTCTGTTAATCTAAAATATGTGAAATTGGGCTATGGTTATCTCATTAACCATCGTTTGTATTTACTATTCGCACCCGCTTTGCTTGCAATCTTGATTAATCATATTGGAAAATTCACTATGGAAGATCTCTTTGTGAAATTTAACATCACTGAGGGGTTGTTTATTTCTGGAATTTTTCTACTTATGCTCTATATTTATATTGATTCTACACCAAGTTCTACCTATTTGATTGATTTCTCGTGTTTCCGACCTTCAAATGATTACAAGGTAATGTTAAATTAAAGATTTTGTTTTCTATTGACACTTAAAAAACGTGTTTGTCCATGTTGGTGTCAGATATCTACATAGAAAAACGTATTTATATTTTATTTTTTAAAATTATTATAAATATCATCGTGTCAGTGTAATATTTAGCATATATTTATATTTCGTAAGAAAATAATTAAAATCATCTTATAAACACGCTTGTCATGTGCAGATCTCTAAGGCAGAGTTCATTGAGTTAGCAAAAACATCAGGAAATTTCAATGAATTGGCCATTAAATTTCAAGAACAAGCTCTTAAGAAATCTGGCATAGGAGATGAAACCTACTTACCAAAATCAGTTTTTCGCCCCGGTTACACATCATCCTTAAAAGAAGGCAGAGAAGAATTATCAATGGTGATGTTTGGTGCAATTAAGAATGTTCTTGCAGCCACAAAAGTAAAACCAAAAGACATCAAAATCCTTATAGTAAACTGTGGAATACTAAACACAACTCCATCAATCTCATCAATGGTGATAAACCATTTCAAGCTTAGGTCTGATATTCGTAGCTTTAACCTTGGTGGTATGGGTTGTGCTGCTGGAATCGTAGCTATTGATTTGGCTAAAGACCTTCTTGATGCTTATCCTGGTTCTTATGCATTAGTAGTTAGCACAGAAGCTGTTACCTATTCATGGTATAGTGGTAATGAATTTGATATGCTTCTTCCTAATTGCTTCTTTAGAATGGGAGCTTCAGCCGTCTTGCTCTCGAATTATCGCCTCGATAGATGGCGTGCTAAGTATGAACTCATACAGGTATTATCTCTCGATCACATTATTTTCGTAAAAGGTTAATTTTAGGGTTGACCAGTGGATCCTGATTCTCACGATCATGAAATTTAAACAATCGCGTAGTCACTCAGTCTAATAATGTTGGTATGATAATTCACATTCAAATTAGATATTTTAAATTTAAAATTTTTTAAAATATATAATGGTTTTGGTCTTTATCAGATGATTCAGACTTGTTGACTACATGACAAATTCTAGCAATCACGTAGTCAGTTAGTTTGAAACAAAGTGCATAATCAAGATCAAAAGACTTATAACTCACTCTTAGTAAATCAAATTAGGATAAATGTTGTCTGATCTTTTATCTAATAATTCAGACTCGTCAACTCCATGATATATTCTATCAGTCACGTAGCCAATAAGTCTAGACTGAACTTAGCAATCAAGACTCGTATTTTAAACACGGTAAATCAAATTCAAAGAGATTCACACAATAAACATGAAATATAAGTTGCCTTATCTTGATGAAATAGTTCGGTTAAGACTTACCGACTACGTGACTCCTAAAATCTCTTATTGGTTTGAGATATGACCAACGAACCCATGTTGCAGCTGGTCAGAACTCACAAAGGAATGGACAACAACAGCTACAAAAGCATACATCAAAAAGAAGACAATGAAGGGAAAAAAGGACTATCAATAAGCAAAGATGTAATTGAAGTTGGAGGCCATGCACTAAAAGCCAACATCACAACACTTGGTCCACTAGTACTACCAGTTTCAGAACAGCTTCACTTCTTCACCAATTTACTCTTGAAGAAAAAGAAAACAAAGCCATACATTCCTGATTTCAAGCTAGCTTTTGAACATGTATGTGCATTGGCAACAAGCAAGAGAGTGTTGGATGAGATACAAAATAATTTGGAGTTGACAAATGAGTATATGGAAGCATCAAGGAAGACATTGGAGAGATTTGGTAACACTTCTAGTAGTAGTAATTGGTATGAACTTGCATATCTAGAGTTCAATAAAAGGATTAAGAAAGGTGATAGAGTTTGTCAGATAGCTTTTGGGTCTGGATTTATGTGTAATAGTGTTGTTTGGAAAGCACTTAGGAATGTTGGGAAGCCTAAACAAAGTCCTTGGATTGAGGATGATAATTGAAGATCATATAATAGCTACCTTTACTTACTTTATGGGGATATTATGTATCAACTGTGTTCATATTATGAGCAATGGAAATGATGTAAAGACATAAATTAATTATTAAATAAAAAAATTTAAGTTCACAATCTATGTGTTGGTTTACTAGTATGTTTTAACTTTTATCCCAAAAAACATTCTATGTATGTTAAATATATTAATATATTAATGGCTAAAAACCTGACTATAGTGGTAAAAAATATTGGTATAAATGCCACCATATAATTTGGACAAGTTTTTATTTTGAATGAATTTTTGAGTTTAATTATTTTGTTGACATTCTTTGAGTTTAGTTAAACTTCTTTTTTTGTCAAACGAGTTTAAGTTAATAATCTAAATTATAAAGTGATATTAAGGAGTATTTCGAAGTTGATACATGTTAATGTTTCACATCTTTTAAATTTTAGTTATATTAGCTATATATATTTTTCAAAACGTTGTTAATTTCACTATCATTTTACAAAATAAAGCATAAATTATTTATAGATGACCAAACAACAACAAAAACATTACGAGCATATATATTAGAAAAATAATATAATAATTATATTTTAAGTGAAAAATTCTTTGAAGGTTATAAGGCATTTTATTATGCCTAACAATTATAAGTTTAGTTACTCATCTATTATAAATATATAAAATATAAAGTATTAAAAAAAAAATCATAAATACTCTTCTGAAATTATGTTCAAATTTGTCTAATTTCATGGTTAATAATCTCTTATTTCAAATTTGCTTTAGTTATATTGATTTGACATTTATTATTACTAAGGTGTTATTTCTCTATTTTTTCATACTAATTTTTAGTTTATTTTATTATTTTATTAACCTCTAATTAAGTTTCAATTGTCTATTAAACTTCTGCAAAAAAAATGTGGGAAAAGACATTCAAAAGCAAAATAAAATACTTGATTAACAATTCCGGTTCTGAAAAAGAAATTGTATAAGGCTTTGATGACGATGCATCCTGACAAATCTCCCAATTCAGATGGTCTTAATACGCGTTTCTATTAAAAATTTTGAAACTTGTGTGGAGATGATATTTATATAGAAGTGAAGATATGGTTGGACAAAGGGTTTCTCCTACCAAATCTCAATGACACCCATATTTTCCTTATACTGAAGTGTGTGAATCCTAGTTCTATGCAGGACTTACTCCCTCTGTGCAATATGGTTTACTAGATTGTGTCAAAGCTCTTAGCTAATAGGCTGAAGAAGTATCTGCATAAGTATATAGGAGAAGAACAATTGACTTTTGTAGAAGGGAGATCTATTCTCGATAAAGCTATGATTGCATTTGAAGTTATCCATTCGCTTAAGAGAAGGACTAAGGGAAATAATGCTCAGTTGGCTCTTAAGATAGACAATAGTAAGGCTTATGACAAAGTGAATTGGGGTTTCTTGAGGGGAATGCTTCAATGTTTGGGTTTTGCGGATAAATGGATTTAGTGGATGATGATGTGTGTGTCATCGGTGAATTATTATGTGCTTGTGAATGAGGATAATGTGGGACTAATTCAACCAGGAAGAGGGCTGAGACAAGGAGACCCACTGTCTCAGTATCTCTATTATTATTATCACTGAAGGCTTTCGACACTTCTGAAGGGTGCTGTAGCTCGAGAGGATATTCATGGAGTTCAGATATGCAGAGGGGCACCTAGTGTGTCCCACCTACTTTTTGCTGACGAATGTTTTCTTTTTTGCAGGGAAAATTTAACCGAGGTGCAAACCATTATGGAGATTCTCAAAATTTACTCTGAAGCTTCAAGTCAAGACATTAACCTGACCAAATCAGAGGTTTTCTTCAGTAGAAATATTAGTCATTCAACTCTGGAAGATCTTTCTAGCATAATGGGAGTTCGTCATGTTCTTGGTACATGGACCTATCTAGGTCGTCCTTCTAGGATAGGGCGAAGTAAGAAGGCTACTTATGCTTATGGGAAGGATAGAATTTGGAAGAGGATTAATTCAAGGCGTGGGAGGAATTTATCAAAAGCAAGAAAGGAAGTGATGATTAAATCGGTTCTTCAAGCTATTCCGACTTATATTATGAGCCTTTTTATTCTTCCGGATGGAGTGGTGGATGATATTGAAAAGATGCTTAATGCTTTCTTGTGGGGAGGGGGAATAATAATAGAGGTATCATGTGGATGGCGTGGGAATATCTGACAGGAACTAAGAAGGAGGGATGGTTAGGGTTCCGAGATATCTGTGACTTTAATCTAGCTATGGTGGCAAAGCAAGGGCGGGATATCCTTACAAACACAGAATATCTACTTGCTAGAATCCTTAAAGCAAGGTATTTTCCTTACTCGTCTTTCTTTGAAGCAAATTTGGGTCATAATCCGAGTTTTGTCTAGAGAAGTATTTGGAAATCTAGGGATATTCTAACTCTTGGCTGTAGGTGGAGTATTGGAGACGGTAACAATATTTCAGTGATGAACGCCCTATGGCTTCATGGATATATTGAGGATTTCTTACAAGGCCCCCATAGACAAGGTGTGTATAATATTAATGATCTTCTTTTACCTAATGCTAAACAATGGAATGATCAGGTGATAAGGGATTTGTTTGATTCAGGATCAATGAAGAATATGCTTCAGGTGCTATTAATTGATGATGTGAAGGAGGATAAGTGGAATTGGAAAGAAGAATAAGACTAGTGTTATAGTTTGAGGTCTGGATATAGATTATTGAGGAAGGATGGCAGGAAGGTGGAGGTTAGCATCGGAAATGAGAATTGGTGCAACATTTGGAATATGAAGGCTCCTCCTAGGGTGAAACATTTGGTCTGGAGATTGTGTAGGGGGCTGCCTTCCAACCAGAGTTAGGTTGATAGAGCACCACGTTCCTTGTCTGATTGAGTGTCAGCTTTGTATGTCGTAGGGAGAAGGTGCTTGGCATATTTTCTTTGGGTGCAAAGGTAGTTTCGGGTGCTGACAGGCAGCAGTTTTTTTACATATCATTCAGCCTCGTTTAGAGTTCTTTGAAGATGCTAAATCCTTGATTTTTTATATTTGTAATCAGGAGGATATGAGGATAGTAGGCTGAGTCGCTATTATGTTGGAGGTGGTATGAAGGAATAGAAATAATTGGATTGGAATAATGAGAAATAGGTTCCTTCCAAACTTGGCCTTCAAGCTTATAGTACATGGCAAGATTGGTATAAAGCTCAAGATATTAATGTCAGTGAGAATACTCACCACCATCTATTGGTGTGGAGTCCGCCAAAAAAAAGGGATTTTGAAATGTAATGTTGATGCAGGCTTTAATACTACTCAGAGAACTACCAATAGGGGATGGTGTGTGAGAAACAATATTTGAAGCTTTGTCTGTGCGGGTGTAGCCTAGGACTTAGGTACTAATTCAATTTTAGAAGAGGAAGCTTTGGAACTCAAAAAGGCTATTCATTGCTCTACAGCTATGCAGTTACATAATGTTGTCTTTGAGAGTGATTCACAATGTGTGATTCAGTCCATTAGATCCAATAACAATGGTATTTCTGAGTTCAGTTGTATTATTTCTTCTATTCCGAGTTTGTTACAGTCTTTTCCAAACTTTGTGGTCAGTTTTATTAAGTGCCAAGCGAACTCGGTTGCTCATGCTTTAGCTAAGGCGACTGATTACTGGTCTAGGCATAGTTTCTTTGATTTGCCTTCTCCTTGTATTGAATAATTTATGATTAATGATATAAGTTATGTTTCTTTTTGTAAAAAAATAATACTTGGAGAATGAACAGTCACACAACTTCCCATGGTCAGCAATTATTTTCGAAATGCATTAAAATTAAAACATGAAGACACCATAAAAAACCATTTCAAGTCCAGCTCGCACAGACAAATTCCCTTCACCATTATTGTGATTCCTAAGAACCAATGCATCAAGTAGAAGCAGAAAGTCGAAATCAAGCCCCATGTTCATTCTCTGCAAGAAAAACAACAACACCACCATTGAAACAACTCAACAACCTTCTTCCCCTAAACCCTTTACTATTAACACGGTCTAGATCTTCTCCGTACAAATCTTCTTCTCTTTCCAGTAGGTTTTAGAGTTCACCTTTGAGGAAAGAAGAAACAGAGTCTACTTCCGATAATGAGAAATCGAGTCCGCAATCGCTGAATAGAGACTTCATTTATGATAAAAACGATTCCATATGTACTACTGAGAGATTCAGTTCAGTTAGGGATTTGAAAAATGTTGAAGAGTTGTTGTTAAAGGGAAGGGTGAAAAAGGAAGAAGATGAGGATTCTACTGTGGTGGCACGTTCGCTTGTATTGACTCGGTGCAAATCGGAAACGGTCAGGGTAAATTACAGAATTGACCCTGAGGTGAATAGTTTGTGGAAAAAGACAAGGTTGGGTTTTGTTGTTACTTTTATTCTAAATTGATTTCATTCAAATAATATTAAATGCTTTATTTTTTGTTACCAATTGTAATCGTCGTTTTTTATTATAGTAACACATGTTTAACGAGAATTCACACAACATTTTTGTTACCAATTATAATCATCGCTTTTTATTATAGAAACAATGAATGTTTTTAAGGAGGCGTACCAGATGTCTGACGAGTACAAACAAAACATGTATCTTGATGACGATGACGAGTACAAGCAAAACATGTATCTTGATAACGATTTGAAGACATGTAAGATATTTACTAGCAGTCTGAGATGTGAAATAGAAAAGGTTCATCTATGGAGGGACAACCTTAGACACCCATCTCATCCTTTGGAGAAATAGCAACACTTATGGTCTAAAAATCTAACTATATTAAGGTAAATAACAATAAATGAATTATGTATAATTGTGTCTAATTATGTGTTGGAAAATTTTCAGGTGGTGATGAATGGTAAGTTCCGAATGGAAATGTAAGATTATTTTATTATCTTATTTTTGTTGTTGTTTCCGGGTTGTAGGTTAGAATGGACAAGATTTGACTGATTAATTGTTTCATCATTGTTT